GCTATGCTCTAATTTCAATTGTGGTATTAATTTCAAATCGATCCAATAAATTTTTGAACTGTAAATGAAGCGATTATGTTACCGCTTGTTAATACTTTAAGTCTACGTCTTAACCGATCAGGCGGGTTGCCATCTGGACGTTTAATATCCTCAGAAATCGTTTCAATGAAATCTTAGGACACATATCCTCTGGAAGCATTTGGTGTTTGGAAAATACCGCAGATCTATTTTATGAAATTCAGAAAAACAACAACTACAAAGGAATTCAAGAAATTAATATTTAAACAAGCTTTTATTATTGAATTCGAGCTCTCACGTTATATGGCATAATAATGATTGAATGGAATGTCATGCAGTAAGTCACGCTGCCATGGCAAGTACTCTGCATGTTAATCTTATAATTCATTATAATACAGTAAATTTATTCTTGAACAATATGTCAGTAAGAACGAATATGTTCGGAAGTAGAAAGATCGACAGGAAATCTTTATTAATAGACACAGAGTCTAAGAGTATTTTTTAAACAATGAAAGAAGAAAAAAGTGACGGAACGTTGAATGGTTGAAGACTTGAAAACAGCGCTTTTTATACTTCCGCAGCGGAATCTTGGAGTATATCCTGCCCGATATTAGCGTATCAATGCTCTATTTTCCGCATTTCTCGAGTGCAACAGAAGGAGAACTGACTCCGACAGAAAATGATATATGAACAGGGTTTTGAATATCCAGTTTTACTATCCAGCGATAGTAATATATTTATCAATCTTTTATACAAATTAACTGTGTTCACTAATTATGTAATTTTAAAACGATCGATTCAAATTTTGAAATAAATACAACTGATTTCCTTTATGATTGACCTAACAAAATTTGAATAATTAGAATTTCCTCAATGCTATTAACAAATACATTTGTTGAATCTCTGGAGAGCGCAAATGTCCATCTTGATAAGTACGTAGTTACATAATCATAGAATACTATACTATCAATAAGATCTCCGATGTTTCTTTTCAACATATTGTTGTAATTAGAAAATTCCGCAAGCTAAAATTACTTCATGTTTTTAAAGAGCTTTTAATTAATGTTGCATATTTGTTGCTTAATGATTTTTACGTATTCTCTTCATCCTAAAAGTTGCAGGTTTAGCGTAGTTGATAGAAAACAGTTGAATACGCCTATTTAACAATTAAGCAAATCATTTAGATGATTTAATTGTAATACTGATAGAATGGATAAGTGGTAAACAAAGAATATTACTGGAAGTTAACAGGTTTATTGAAAGGTAAGAATTTTTTTTTTTCTAAAGTAAGCTTCAATATCAAAGTTATTTTGGGTAGGGTAATATTTTCTTTCGAATGGATATCAACGAAGAAATGAAGTAGCAATGGATGAGCACTGATGACTGATAAATGATTAGAAGGATGTTAGTTATGATGGTATCATATAGTATAACTGGAAATGAAGCATCTTCATCTCTTGAAAAAGTTATGTTTTTTATTCATTGAAATAGCAATTAAATTATTTAATTAATTAATTAATTAATTAACTAATTAATTAATTAGTCCATTCATTCATTCATTCATTCATTCATTCTTTTCTCTTTATTATTATTATTTCTTTCTCATTATTGTTTCATTTCACTATTGGTTCATTTAATATTATCATCTTATCATTCATTCATTTCTTTCATAATTACTCTTTCCATTTGAATTTATCAATTTTTGTCTACGTTTATGGTATATTATTTGGCATATTTTATGTCTTAAAAATACTATTATTTTATCATTTATGAGTTATGAAAGTTTATTGAGTCATTTCATAAATGAAATTTTCAGGGAAAAAAAATCATTTCAAAATTGTTTTAAATGTTTATTTCGCCATTAACTTTTTTCCATTTCTTACATGTCACTTCTTGTCAACTCTTCTAAAAATTTCCATCATATTTTTCTGAAATGAAAAACATGAAATGAAAATGCTTTTGTTACATTTTTAATTCATGGAATGTCAGCAATTTGTTCTCATTCAATAGCAACTTTCGGGTTAATTTCCTTTCATGCCAGCAGCACTATCGATATTCGCAACTTTTTGTCAAGTATCTTTTAACCCAACTTTTTGAAATTGATTAATTAATGCGATGTTGTTTTTTTCCAATGATAACAACAAACGATGACAATGGAGGGTAGTAATGTTATCACATATCAAAAAATATTCCTGAGAAATGCACAAGAATTGCTAGAGTATTTCATTTGATGAAGCAATTAGATTAAGTGTAATGTATGAAAATGACCAAATTAGTATAAGAATATTATTAATTTTCAAATTTTCAAATGTTTTCACTAATAGAACATTTATCGAAATGTTTATAGTTTAAAAGAGCTAATCCAAGAATCATCGTGAACTAATCCAAAAATCATCGTGAAGTAATTCGAATCTATCATTTTTTATATGTAATGGAAGAGCATGATGACAATGTGAAGTAAATTTAGTCATCAGATAGTTGTCAGTAACAACATTATTGAGGTATATCAGCAAAGAATTACAAAAAAAGAAAAAAAAGGGAAAAAGAAAGAAATGCAAATGATCAAATTGATATTATATGTTTGCATTTCTTATCATGATTGATTAAAGTTTTGTTAATGTTTGTTCATTGATTCATCGAACATATTACCATTTTGCGCCATTTAATTTGTAATGAATAAAGTTGATATTTGTTTTGCATATACAAAATTTGCTATTGTTAATATATTCAGCATATTGGAATTCCTAGCATTATATTAAAATGAAATATGAATGATTAATATTGATCGATTATGGGTTTTCTACAAATTTTATTTTAATTAGCTATTAAAGGAAATTACCGAAATATTTGAAAGATACCTGTAGCATACCTGTAGTATGATGAAACTAGAGGGAATACTGTTGAAGATTCAAAACAATTCTGATATTGCAAATTGATCATATTTAATTTTGGTATTGGGATGAAAGACTAATTGAATTATAATAAAAATATCTGTTTCACTCTGAAATTTCATGCAGGATAACTAAAATATGTAATAAAGTAGTTATATTCGATAAAATGAATAATTAGAAGGATTGTAGGATGAATTGTCATCAACTTATTCTCAAATTTTCAATGAATATAACATTTTACTTGTTTAAATCAAGCATTAGATAATGTATACTATAAATGGGCTATATTTGGTAAACAGAACTAGCAATTAGCGCTAATGGGATGAATTAAACATTGAATTAATAGCCAAATGAGTTAAATCTTACTCTAAAACTTGGTGGAACCATAATTCACATTTTTTATTCTGTTTACAAAGTAACAAGTTTTAATATACCTGTAAGCATACTTGGCATCAAGTTTTAATATACCTGTAAGCATACTTGGTATTACGTCTTCAACAATTTGTTAACAATTTTGAAATATATTCTGTCATAAATTTTTACACACCCTCTTATCTTCATTATGAATGAAATTTAATCCACACATGATTAAAATCTGATACTGATCAATTAGATTGATTAATTAAACATATTAATTAAATACCGGTTATAAAATAAAGAAGCAGCAATTATGCATCATTCAGCAGCTATTTCTATTCTTATCGAAAAAAAAAATTAAGACTAAATATTATTGGCTAATAGGAAATGAAAGTAGTTAGATTTATTAATAATGAGATATTTAAATTGGATAGAATCGATCAATCCTTCATTACTTTTCATAAATTGTAATTCTATTAGTATCCGTTAAAAACGTTCTTTGAATTTTTTCTTCATTTTAAAATCAGAATTTCCGGGTATATATATATATTTTTTTTTAATTCGACAAAAGCTTATTGTTTCGACAAGTAATTAATTACATGATCAAAAGAAAAAAAAGGAAAAAATGCGACGAAATATGAGAGAAAATTTTTGATTATTTGATCATTGATCATTACAAACTATTATTACTAACTTTTCAACCTAAATAACTTGTTTTTGCCAATTTTAATTATTGCTTTTTTAAACTTAAACTCTAATTATTACAAACTTTTTCAAAACTAAACATTGGTCCCCACTAGTTTTAATTATTAATGACTTTTTTAAATCGAAACAAATACTTACTAAAATAACTTGTTTAAATTATTCAACTTGAAATATTTTACTCATTTATTTATTCACTTGATTAAATGATGAATAATAATAATACACTGCGTAAATAAAAGAACTGATTCAAAGCAGGTTTTAATTCAAAATTGGAAATTCAAATAGAAATGAAAGAATGTAAGGGGAAATAAGTAATTCTTAAATAAATTTTATAAATAATAGTGTATATTGCTCATGTTTATTTTTCCGCTTATCGCTGTATGAGTATGTTATTTTACCTGTACACGTATTTAAAATTCTAACGCACATTAGGATATATTACGGCGGTTTATATTTTTCATAAGAACATTTCATACTTCCTTGAACGTTTGCACATATAGCAAATATAATGCGTTATTATTTTGAAGTATGATAACTTTTATTGTCAACAAATTGTCAACGATTATTTGATTGTCAAATTGAGGAATACTATGATTCAATTCACATTTCTTTACAAAAATGGATAAATTTTCTTGCACCTTTTTATTTTCCACATATATGATACGTGTAATTTCAGCGTATTCAGTTATATTTGATAAAAATACTTAATGAGCTCGAAGATAGTCAGATTCATGTACCACGTGCTATCATCTTCATGTAGTTCTTTCTTCTTTTCGATTCCACTCATCTAAAAATCCTTTAAAGTAAATTAAACTTTCAGATTTTATTACTACAAGCATTAAAGTACGCATGATAACATATTAACGATTTCGATATATTCTCTCTTAATTGAACTTATGAATTATAGGAATTGAATAAGATGAATATATTTCTTGAAATTAATTTTAACAAGAAATAATCCCATGTATATTATGATAGTTTTCAATAATATGAATATATTACGTTTTAATTCATGTATTCAGAAATTGATACATTAGTGATTGAAGCAATATGAATAACTTACCTTAAAAATCATATTTGAAACCTGGTATATATATGTATATATGTGACCACTGGATGTCACATTGCAAAAGCAACTTATATACTACGTACCTGTAAATGATATTCGGATATGTACATGTAATACTTTGTTAACTTACATACATACAAAACAGATGCATAATGTTGGTGGTGTTTCATATATTTGTGATAGCATATGTGACTTTGTTGTGTTAACTGTGTATCCATAAGATTTACAGGTACAGTATAGATTCTTAAAATTGTTATAACATCTGAAAATATCATGATTTATGTTTGTATAGTGATTTTGATTGATTATATATAAATATGGCTAACAATAAATTATTTATTAAGCATTTGATTTGCAAATCTAACTAGAAATTCCTTGATTTATAGTGAGGAAAAAATTGATAACTTTATGTAAATCTATCAAGAATTAAACTGTAATAATAGATAAAAATATGATTTTTTTTTTGAGGTGAATATTTTGGATAGAAAAATTTCATATATCAGAAATGAAACATTTACTATATAGGCAGATTACATACATTCAAAAATCTTGAGGATGTACGTATTTTGTTCCATACATAAATATAAATATCTTGTGAATTGAAATTTATCAATGGAATGAATAATGGAACAAATATAACATTGAGAATTAAGAAATATGAGCTTCAAATTGCATAGATAAATAGCAATCATTTTTTTAAACCTAAACTGTTATGTTCACAAAATTCTGAGAAATGCTTTTATACTTTGAGAGTACCAAACGAAAATTCATGAAAAGTGGTTAACCGGAAACTTATAAATTCTATAATAAAATAAACATATTACCATAAATATTAATTGAATGTAATCGATTTGCTCCAAATTTACTCACATAACTTTTCTCATCAATTTTATCACTCTCATCAATTTTCATCATTTTTTCTAATTTTACACATTTTGAACTCCACCTTATCCTATCTATCATTTCAATTTATAATTGTAATAAGACTCTATCGTCCTCTATTATCACTTTTACAAAGTTATAACGACACTTCACATGGTCAACTTTATTCATTTATGACTTTTACACCTTCCCCACTTTCGCTAATCAAAGTGGCAATAAGGGATAGCAATAATTGCAGAAGCTATTACTCCGGTCGTCTAGCTTTATGACGAACTATGAAATACTCATACAGCTAGATAACCAAAGAAATCGCTAACTGCATTCAGGAAACATACGTAACATTGAAAAGCCAATTTTTGATCTTCTCCGTGATGATATCATTTATCGATGATGATGTCCACTTTCTGCAAATGCCGATATTTTATATTTCCGAGTTCTCATAGGAAGTAGCAAACGTACAAACGGTATGAAATCTTCATTAACCACAAAAGCCACATCTGATCAGCAACCAGATCATTCTAGCTTTCCTCTTATTCTCTGATTTTTCCTTTCCTCTTACTTTTTTTATAAATGTACAAAAGAGAAAAAAAGAAAAAAAAAAAAGAAAA